AGGGGGTAAGGCAGCCGGGATTGATGGGATAAAGATAGAAATGTTAAAAGCAGGGGGGGAAAATAGTTTTTTGGGGTGGTTGGTGCAATTAATTTAATAAATGTATGGAAGAGGGTAAGGTACCTAGGGATTGGCAGAGAGCATGCAAGTTCCTTTGTATAAAGGCAAAAAGGGGGTAAAAAGAGTGCAAAAATTATAGGGGGATAAGTCTGTTGAGTGTACCTGGTAAAGTGTATGGTAGAGTTATAAAGAAAGAATTAAGAGTAAGACGGAGAATAGGATAGCAGATGAACAAGGAGCTTTTTGGAAAGGTAGGGGGTGTGTGGACCAGGTGTTTACAGTGAAACATATAAGTGAACAGTAAATTTTGATAAGGCTAAAGAGGTCTTTGTGGCATTTATGGATTTGGGAAAAGGCGTATTTACAGGGTGGATAGGGGGCAATGTGGGAGATTTGCAAGTGTATGGGGAGGGGGTAGGGTTTCTGAAAGCAGTGAAGATTTTTAAAGAGGATAGTGAGGCTCAAGTTAGAGTATGTAGGGAAAAAGGGAAATTTTTCCCATAAAAATAGGCCTTAGACAAGGATGTGTGATGTCACCGTGGTTGTTTAATATATTTATAGATGGGGTTGTAAGAGAAGAAATGCGAGGGTCTTGGCAAGAGCGTGGAGTTAAAAGATAAAGAATCAACACAAAGGGGAGTTGTCACAGTGCTCTTTGCTGATGACACTGTGCTCTTGGGAATCTGAAGGAAGCTGCAGAGATTGGTGGAGAATTTTGGTAGGTGTGCAAAAGAAGAAAATAAAGGGAATACAGGAAAGGTAGGTTAAAGTACAAAAGATTAGGTGATGAATTGAATTCAGATTGGGGGGAGAGAGTATTGAGGAGGGGAATATCGATATTTGGGAGTGGACGTGCAGCGGATGGGTCAAAAAAGATGAGGTGAATCATAGATTGATGAGGGAAAAAGATGAGGGTGCACTTAGGTCTGTGGACAAAGAACTTTGTCCTTTGGGGGCAAAGAGGGGAATTATGAGAGTATAGTTTTACCAACGCTCTTATATGGTGTAGCATGGGGGATGAATGTTCAGCGAGGAAACTGGAGGCAGGAGATGTCATGTCTGAGGGCAATGTGTGGTGTGAAAATAATGCAGAAAAATTCGTAGTTTGGAAGTTAGGAGGAGGTGCGGGATTCCCAAAAACTGTTGTCCAGAGGGCTGAGGAAGGGTTGTTGAGGTGGTTCGGACATGTGGAGAGAATGGAGCGAAACAGAATGACTTCAAGAGTGTATCAGTCTGTAGGGGAAGGAAGGCGGGGTAGGGGTCGGCCTAGGAAGGGTTGAGGAGGGGGTAAAGGGGGTTTTTTCTGTGCGAGGGCTTGGACTTCCAGCGGGCATGCGTGAGCGTGTTTTGATAGGAGTGAATGGAGACAAATGGTTTTTTAATACTTGACGTGCTGTTGGAGTGTGAGCAAAGTAACATTTATGAAGGGTTCGGGGAAACCGGCGGGCCCGGACTTGAGTCTTGGAGATGGGAAGTACAGTGCCTGCACTCTGAAGGAGGGGTGTTAATGTTGCATTTAAAAACTGTAGTGTAAAGCCCCCTTTCCCTGGCAAGACAGTGATGGAGTAATGATGGTGAAAGTTTTTCTTTTTCGGGCCACCCTGCCTTGGTGGAATCGGCCAGTGTGATAATAATAAAAAAATATATATATATAATATATATATATAATATATATATATATATATATATATATATATATATGGAAGAGGTGTATGTGTATGTGTGTACTCGCCTAATTCACCTAATTGTGGTTGCAGGGGTCGAGACTCGGCTCCTGGCTCCGCCTCTTCACCGAGTGCTACTAAGTCCTCTCTCTCCCTGCTCCATGAGCTTTATCATACCTCACCTTAAAGCTATGTATTGTTTCTGGCTCCACTACCTCACTTGCTAGGCTATTCCACTTCCTGACTGCTCTATGACTGAAGAAATACTTCCTAACATCCCTTTGACTCATCTGGGTCTTCAAATTCCAATTGTGACCCCTTGTTTCTGTGTCCCCTCTTTGGAACATCGTGTCTCTGTCCACTTTGTCTATTCCACGCAGTATTTTGTATGTCGTTATCATGTCTTTCCTAACCCTCCTGTCCTCCAGTGTCGTCAGTCCGATTTTCCTTAACCTTTTTTCATAGGACATTCCCC